CTCCAGCTGTTATAGAACTACAAGTCCCACAATGCATTGCAATACACAAACTTACAGGCATGACTCCCAGGGCCAGAAGCATGTTGGGATGCGCAGTTAAATCACAGCTGGAAGGCCGGAGTTGCCCACCCCTGTACTACATCCAATAGTTAGCCAGATTAATTTTGATCAAGGGACGGAACCTGGATGCCAGCAGCGGCCGGAGGACACAGAGGGGATTGCGGACAAGGTAAGAGACGCTACACTGTATTCCCGAGTGTGGCTCGGGGTTACCGCTTTTGGTACAGAAAATGAACCCTGAGCCACACTCGGGAATACCGCCAGGGAGGTAAATCAATGGATAGGTGCTGAAATCTGCCCCGTCGCGCGAAAAAGAAGCTCAAGTACTTTTTCGCGCATAGGGCGTTTTTCAGCGCGACAAAACGCGCTGAAATACGCCTAGGTGGGAACCATGCCCATAGCAATTAATAGGATTTCACGTCTTGAGCGTTTTTCAGCGCTTCGATCAGCGCTGAAAAACGCCCAGGTGTGAGCCCAGCCTTAAACTCTATCCATGCTGTACAGGAACTGCAAGAGGCTGATGCTAATTCAGGTACTTACAAGGCTTGCAAATAAAAATACATTTATTGATGTAATAATGTGTTTTTTTTAATCTGCCTAGAGTTTAGCTGTAAATATTGACCATAACAGAGCTTTGGTGCTTCCTTTGCTACCAAGCAGTTGTCAGGGCAGAGTCATCAGTTTGGTGTCCCACCATCCACCTCTCAGAAGGACCTCTGCATTGAACAACTCTATGGAATAAGACTGAATTACAAATAGATTCACCTGAATCTAAAGAGATCGTATAATGATATGCTGACAGCTGAGTAGGCTGAAATCAAGAATGATGGCTGATCATAGTAGTTTTGAATTATGGTCAGAAATGTATGGAAGACTAGCAGAATTATAACTCCACTTATAGGTTCCTTCGCTAGAAGAATATGAATTGGCCACATTGCCGAACGGACTCATACTTATCCCATCTACTAGGATTTAGTGAAATCCCCATGGTACAAGGGACTTTTATTTATGAATACTATACAAATAGGATTAAAGGGGATTTACATTTTTGCAGCCAAAAAAAAAAAAATTATATATATATATTTATACACACACACACACACACACCCTATATTACCAAAAGTATCGGTGCACCCCCCCCCCCAAATCATTGGATTCAGGTGTTCCATAAAATTTCCTTGCTACTATATATTCCACAGTCACCTGTTAGTGTCATTATAACAAAGTGGAAGCAACTGGGAACAACAGTAACTCAGCCACGAAGTGGTAGGCCACATAAAATGACAGAGTGGGGTCAGCGCATGCTGAAGCACGCAGTGCGCAGAAGTCGCCAATAGCTACAGAACTTCAAACTCCATGTGGCCTTCAGATTGGCATAACAACTGTGCGTAGAGAGCTTCATGGAATGGGTTTCCATGGACAAGCAGCTGCATCCAAGCCTTACATCACCAAGTGCAATGCAATGCATCGGATGCCGTGGTGTAAAGTATAGCTGCAAAGGGCGAGCCAATCCAATATTGAACCCTGTGGACTAAGACTGGGATGCCATTAAAGTTCATGTGCGTGTAAAGGCAGGCGTCCCAATACATTTGGTGTGTGCGTGTGTTCATTAGGAATGTAGGCAGGCCTGGTAAGATCTGCATTCAGCCCTGGTGAGAAACCAGCCTAAAATCATGAGTATGTATTGCTTTGGAAAAAAATGTCACATGTGCCTTTAAGAAAAAGTATCAGTAATTGGTATTGGCCAAGTACCTGGTCTTGGGGGAAAAAAAAAAAATGGACATCCCAATTTTTATACATATATTTCAATAATAAAAATAGAACAGTGCAGCGCTTTCACATATCATATATTGCGTTTGAAAGTGCTGCACTGTTGTAATATTTGTATTATGGAAGAATATATACACATACACTTTAGTGCTAGCTGCTACATATAGATATTTTTCTAAGTCCAGCACAGGGCAAAAAAAAATTCCAATATATACATATTTTATATTTGTTACATATTCTCATTCAAATATAGCATAACAAAATATAATCTATAAATTGCTACTTATATATTACTTGCTCTTTCTGAAATGTTTTTTGCTAAACCGTATTTCCCTCTGGAATGCAAAGAAGCTGGGAGGTTAGGGTTAATTAGGGTAGACCTATCTGTACTGTGCTGGCAGATCTCATTATCGGTTGAGATTTAAGGTGCCCATACACCTTACGACCATCGCAAGACTTTTGTCTTGCGATGGTCGTATGCTTCTTGAAAGCCCGTATGATCTGCCCACCTTAGACGGGCAGATCGTACTTGCGATCCTCGAAAGCCCGCCCCGCTGAGGGGTGGGCTTCCGATTACGGCAATGCAGAACGGGCAGTGTGCGCGTGCGCACACTGGCCCGTTCCGCAGCTATCGGGCGAGCAGGCTAGAAACCCGCCGAGAATCCTACGATTCTCGGCGGGTTTTCGAACATGTTGGCTCGACAAAAGGCGTGCGACCGTACAGTAGAAACGGTCGCACGTCTTAGTTCACACTGCTCGATTCTCGTACGATCGCGGGATATCGCCCGATTCTCGTACGAGAATCGAGCAGTGTATGGGCACCTTTAGATCTGAACACCGTCTGTCCTAATAAAGGTTAAAGATCTATGAGCTCAGCGTGTCCCTGGTCTTTCTATGGGGACAGCCAGAGTCTACCCTTCACTTTGTATTTGCTCATAGTAGCTTGCAATCTGCAATTTGTTACACTTTCCAATCACAGTGCTCTTAGGGCCTGTTCACACGACGTCCGCTTTCTGTGCTGACCTGATCCGTACGCTCCTGCACTAAAAATGCATCCCAATGTGTTTTATGGGCTACAGTTCTCACGTGCGCAGTCCCTTCAGGTTACGACAGAAAAATACTGCATGTTACATTTTGTACGGCCAGGAAACGCAAAACGCGTCAAAACGCACTGCAGCTAACATACTGACAGCCCCACTCCGCATCAAAAACACATAGCACCACGTCCTCCGCACCTGAAACTCATGTGAATAGGCCCTCAAAGTGGAAATCTAACCCCCCCCCCTTTCATAGTATACTTATTTTCACCATAACAACATTAATAAATCTTCACAGGCTGAGTAGGCTGCAACACACTTGCAGCTACATGACCCCCACTGTCATTCAGGCTATTCAATTCCAGTGGGCAGCCGTACCCTCAGCAAGCCACCCATTAGCAGAAAACTTTTCTTCCGATTGTCCGAGTGAAGCAAGGTGCGTTCCTCATGCCAATAACCCAGACCCTTGCACAATGTACTGTAGTATGAACAGGAACAAAGTGAAACCCGGTGTGGGCTGCCTGTCCCTGCTCACAGCCCTTATTAAAGAGGTTCGTAACTTTAAGCCCTCATTCACACGAGAAAAGGCCGGCATGTACAGCTCTGTGCATGACCGTATAGGGCAGCTCCCTGGAAGGACAGGTGCTGCTTGTGATTAGTCTGCAGCCCCTGTCCTTCTCTATGGGAGTACGCGGCCACACGATTTAAAGGAGTATCTGTCCTGCAGAACCTGTGCCAGACTCTCTACAACTGACCTTTTCCTCATTCCTAACTTACCACGCATTTTTCGGCACATTCTCTGTGGCGGCAACCTCCTTGGCTAAGGATCAGGGCTTTGCTTCTCATTTTAGAGCTGTCCCCCTGATGACTGGCAGGGTAATGATAAAGCAGAAAGGGTACAGAAAACGCAGATCCACAAAATCAATCAGAAGCAGGACGATCCTTGCAAAGCAGATCAATGCAGGTATGGCATCCTCCTCAGCAAGGAGAGCAATGAGCAGCAAGGTAGGAACATCCCTAAATCTCATGAGACTAGCCGTCAGTGATATCAGTGTATTAGATGATCTAAAAGTGCAGATCTACAGCAATGAAGCTCAAGGAACAGTAAGTGCACTGCTATTCTTCAGGAGTTCAAGACATAAACAGCAAGGTACAGCTTAGGCACAATTACAATTTCTAGATGTTCCCCCTATACAATAGCAAATATTACATTTTTGAGTTTGGGTTCACTTTAAAAACAAACCGAAATGAATCTGTTATTTTAAGCTGGTTGTTATCTCCCTTAATAAAGTGCATTCGCCACTCTTCTCAGCAGAATATTAAACCAGTATAATACTAAAAACCAGCTAAACACAATGGCCACTATTCCTTACTCTTGCTATTAGACCTTTCTGTGCTTTTGACACCGTGGACCACCTGCTCCTCCTCAAAAAACTCTACTCACTTGGCCTACAAGACTCTGCTCCCTCATGGTTCACCTCTTACCTGTCTAAGCGCTCCTAGTGTCACCTACAATTATAACTCCTCCCCTCCTCCTCTTCCTGTAGGGGTCCCCCAAGGCTCTGTCCTTGGACCCCTTCTCTTCTCTATCAAATAATAATATGGTAAGGAAGCTCTTGCTGTGATGTTTAACATTCCCTTTTAACACAGCGTATTGCTGAAACAAGACAATTCCACTCATTACAAAGTTTTTATTGTTACACTTTGCTCCATATTTTATACAGAAGTCTTCCTTTAACTGTACATGTGACCCGTTTCTTTATAGCCATAGCTCATACACATGTATTAACACAACCATTGTGTTACAAGAGTTGATAAAATCATTCTTGTGGAAGGACTTGAGCAGCCGGAGACAATTGAATGAAACTATCTGTATCATATGCTGGCTATGGCTCTTCAGAAAGCTCTTTTCATAAATCTGCATTAGAGGTTGACAGGAACGGCAGAGGAACTAATCAACCAGTAAATACAGCCAGCTTCAGAATCCACCCTTGATTTGAACAGTACTCACAACCTGTGTGATTAAGAAATTGGCCAGAGCACGTTTTTTTGGACGTAAAAATTGTTCTTGGAACTCATCAATAGTTACGCTCAGTACGATAAATAGGTTGACAAAAATAAAAATTTAGATATTTGCCACGTGACCAGTCCCAGATTTATTTATTTTTTTTGGGCTGTGATGCTATGACTAGCGCTATGATGCAATAGATGGTCCCGCCGAGTGTTAATGCCATAGTTGTTCGGTACAGAAGTCTATCGATATATCCGCCTTTTAAGTATACAGGTACGCCATCAGGTTTCTAAAGAGAAAAAGAAAAGCTTGGTATGAAAACATGAAGCTAAAGTTTACGTTATTCTGTCTAAAACATAGCTGAGAACACTAGTCGTCAGCGACCACTTATCATTGATAGGTTTGCAACAGCCTGCCTACCTGGAGTTGCTCCCTTGCAGGAGATTTCGCAGTTTTCTAGGCCAGCAAGTCATTCCACAGAGGTAAGTGGAAGGATCTCCTGGGTGATTCTGGTGTGCTGTGGTGACATCAATATATTCACCTTACTTTAAAAACCTTTAAATAAATTGGGAGCAGTTGCCACTTTTGTTTGCTTGCTGGATTTGGTGCAGAGACATTCTGGAGGTCATCAGCTGCCATTGTGCTGTGCTTCTGGTGTGTCTCTGCACCTTTGGAGGAATGGGCTGCCCCCAGACATACCCAGCCACAATTTACTCAATGCTATAGAGAGAAAATCTCGCCGGTGGGTACACAAAATTGTTATGCCCATGTTTTCATTTAATTGCTGTAATTTTGCATTGACCTGTTAATCCTGCCAGTTTGCTGGTCTGATAAAGATTTTTGGTGTATGGCCAAGTACACCATCTTACTTAGTGAAAGTATGGGGTATGCTGCTCAGTGAAAGTATGGGGTATGCTGCTCACATGCCCATACAAAAAACCTAACTTTATTCATCTCGACAACATGAACAGAGAGTCTCTTCCTGGGACATCCTCCTCTGATGCATTTCACACACAAGGCTAGGTTTAACCTTAGAGGTAGACCTCTGTGATTAAGCCCGACCTTGTGGGTGAAACATCAGAAGGAGGTTCTAAAGGGCTTGATCATTTTTTTCCAGAGTGCAGCCAGTCTTTTCCCATGGATCTACACTCTCTTGCTGCCATTTCATTATAGATTGCCTTAGTGCTGTTGGCCCACTACACCTGCTCCATCTAACCATGTATGCATAATGACATGGTATGTTGGACGGTTTCTGTGACGCTCAAGTATTCCCGTTCAGGTGAAAGATTTCACATCGCAGAGTCTGGACCATCCACTACAACTCCTCTGCTAAAAAAAAAAAAGCTTCCTTTTGGCTTTTAAAAGCAGCTATAGTGCCCATGAAGTATACACCCACCGCCTGGGAAAAAGAAAAGTGTAGACATCTTAATACATTTCAGAGAATGTCACAGCAATGTTAGCAGTGCCATCCTTTGTTGGGTTTAGCATGTTACTTCCTGCTATCCCCAAATTTCTGGTACTGCTGTAATAGTAACAGGAAGTTAGGTGAAATCTTCCCAACGGGGTCACAGACAGCAATAAAAAATTGATACATGTATTTACTATTTCCAAGTCAACCCAAAATTAAAAATAAATAAATAATAATTTGGTCTGGAGTTGGGCTATAAGACCAGTAAAACAAGACAAGTAAAATAGAAGGGCTAAGAGAAATATGGTTTTGGGTGCCAAAGACTGTGTCTAAGCTACAGCTTTTGCACAACTTTCTCCATATATGCACGTCATTGTGCATAAGATAAAAGAAAAACATTTTATTACATAGTATCCATGTTCTAGTAATTACCTGGAAGTGTTTCTGTAGCTCTGGCACTCTGTTCCTTATCAGGTATTTACGAGTCGTTGGTTCACCTGAAGATTTTGTTGGTGTTGCAAAAATAGGTGCTGGAGCTTCGGGGTTAGAGACTGGTCGGAACCCCTACAGAAGAGAAGAAAAGAAAATGGTTTACAGAGCCTCCTCCGGAAAAAAAAAACTCACCACAAAGAACAGTTCCAGCTGTGTATTTGTGCTACACCTGAAGTTACCACGTGTCACCAAACACATTACTGGTGTTTCTAAGCAATGTCCTTATTAACGAGGCCTATAACTAACACACACACACACACACACACACACACACACACGTTAGATGGGAATTTTGACAAAACCTACAAGAGCATTAAATACTGTAGAAGATAGTCTAATAAGATCAAAATAAAGTCTATGGGAAGAAAGAATCCCTGGCATGACATGAATCACAGACATGTGTTATTGGAGCCCCATCAGTCTAGTATAAAAAAACCTACTACCCATTTTGCCTCAGCTTGGATCATTCCAGAGTATGAGACTGAAGAGAAATTCCCTTTGAGTTTACTGTTAAAAGTTTACCGAAATGTAGAAGTGTCAAATTAATTCTGTCATATTTCTAAATACGAGGTGATGAAAGTTTTCTCATAACAGGCTTAACAACTCTTTATGAACATTTAAGACAGCCGACAGCCAGCCATTATTGAGGAGAATACTCAGATAAAGAATGTACCGCGCATTGTTCTCACGAGTGCTTCTACACTTAAACATGTCTTTGTTGATGAAGGTCATTCAGGCAGGCTGACATTGTTACATTCTTTTCAACCCACGTTCACATTTCTCCAGCCGCAATGCGAGAGAAAATCGTGATTGTAGAGAACAAATAAGCAGTGAATCTGTCGCTCCGAACCAATACCTGTCAACAACTTAGATAAGAGGTGAGCTGGGCTCCCTGTTCACCTCTAACTGTTGTTTTGAATATTAACATTTTCCGTACACTTATCACATGAAGGTGTCCGCAGACATGACAAACTTCCAGTGTCTTTGAAAATTATGTCTCAGGTTCAAAGACATAACCACTTCTATGTTTAAACCAGCACAATACACAGATTTCATAACACAACCTCACCAGCCAGCAAAAGGACCAATCTAAAACCTGCCAGTGACATTTTAATATACACAAAAGGTCTCAGATGCAATATAAGTGAAAGTCACACAGTTACCAGGTTTACTCAACAATCTAGGGGAGGAATAATGTACCAAAGTGGTTGATTTAAGAGGAAAGTTCACCTTTATTTAATCTCTATACGCCAATGTCAGTGGAAAGGAATTAAAGTGACACTAAACTCAGGAGTTAAATCTTTAAAAAATACCTTCAAGTATCTTTTAACTATTACACAAACAAGATACATTTTAGTTATCACTCAGCTGTAGATCCTCAAATCATCTCTGAATTGGTGTTGACACTGTCCTTCCTTCTGGAGGGTGGCTACTTTTGATCCCCATGGTCCCTGTGTGTGTTGTAAAGTAGTCAACGCTCCAAGCTCATTCCTGTGATGGACTACAAGCTCACTTTTTGTTTACTAATTTGTATTGAGATTGTAGTTCATCACAGGAAACAAAAAGGTGAGATTGTAGTCCCTCAGGAGTGAGCTTGCAGCGGTGGCTACTTTACAACACACACAGGAACCATGGGGAACAAAAGTAGCCACCCTCCAGAAGGAAGGACAGTGTCGGCACCAATTCAGAGATGATTTGAGGATCTACAGCTGAGTGATAACTAAAATGGATCTTATATGTGTAATAGTTAAAAAGGTACTTGAAGGTATTTTTAGGATTCATCTCCTGAGTTTAGTGTCACTTTAAGGCCTCATTCACACTGCTGCGCATATACGCGCGTACTGTGCCATATGTGTATAGAGCCGTATATTTGCGTAGCGTAAAAATGCGCAAAAACAGAATGGAACCAAGATGCGTCCGGGCAGCGTATTTATGCGTATTTTTACGCGCGTACATGCTTGTTTGCACGTGTATACAGTTCATTAAAATTCCTATTACGAATGAGGCATTCTCGGATTGCATATAGTGCACACAGGGCTTAAAATTTGAAAGTGGAAAATTTGACATGTCAGGCACACGGTCGCAGACCGCGTACCTGACTTGCGGGAGAAGCTCCACGGTCTGCATCTGTGTCAGATGCAGACCGCAGAGCAGCTCCTGTCAGTTCCGGCTTCCTTCGGCCGGATCTCTGACAGTTCTGAGCTCCAGCGAAGGAAAGAACTGGGGGGGGAGGGGGGAGGTGTAACGTTGTTGAGCAGTGTATTATTGTGCTTTAAGCTGGCCATTTTGACTGTGGTATCTCATCTGCACCCTTTTAACATAATATAAAGCTAAAGCTATGTTATAATTGCTGTTTGTTATATTTTGCACTCTTTATTCTAAAGAAAAATGTAATTTCATAAGCTTTAAGGGGGCTTGGTTGGGGGGACGTGCCTGGGCAAGGTTTGGTGGGACAACTGGTGGAGAGTAAGGTTTTTGCCTGGCTAGTAGGTCTAGACTTGAAATTTGAAGCCTTGAGTGCACTTATATACACACACATACGCACGTATATGCATGTACGAGTATATGCTCAATATACAATTTTGCTCTTGCGTTGTGTGTGAATGAGGCCTAACAGCAGACACCTTATTATACAGTGTAAGACTTACGTTGAACCTTTCAAAAAGTGTTACTTTATAGAACAGTCAACCTTTAATTGCTATGTCCTATAGCGTCTACAAAACAGGAAGTGAAATCTCGTGAATAGGACATAGGATGGCAAAAAGCAGACAGAGGTTTTGACCATTCCCTATTCACTCCAAACGTTTTGGCTTATGATATACTTTAACCTGCGCTTGTCTTGAGAATTATAGTAGCTGCAATTGCTGGCTGCCCAGATTATTACTGCAGTAACGTCAGAAGATTAAACATAGCCTGCTGCAGAGCTGTAAAACAAGCATGCTGCTGTTACTGCAGCCATGAGCTTGCTTTCACCTGTTGAATACCATGACATGGCAGTTAAAAGGAGAACTATGGGGGTTAAGGCTTTTCCCCATAGTTCTCCTTAGGGTAACGGGAGGACACAAACTAGCGCCCTCCCGTCACCCTAAGCTCAGTAAACCGCGAGCTGTATACTGAGACGCCACAGCTGAAGCGGATCCATGCAGAGCAGTTAGCCGTTTGCTCCAGTTCACATCGCAGCGTGCAGTTCCAGAGCAGGTGAAAAAACTGCAGCAAGCCCTATTTTACCTGCTCTGGAACACATGCAAACGCATCAAAAACGCATGCAAATGCCTAGAACGCACTGAAAGTCCCATTTTAAACTAAAAAATTAATAAATATTTATATATTTTTTTAAACCAAAATCAACAATGCGGCAAAAAACGCGGCACAACCCACTGCACTGCGTGTGCAGAAACCTGAGCGGATCTGCTCTGCATTTGGTGTGAACAAGGCCTAAAAGGCTTAAAGAAGTCATTTTCTGAGACGGACACACAGACTACCACTAGTCACTCCACATTCTACAAATACTTGTTTCCTGGCTGTTATTTTTCCTTCTTATACCCTTAGGTCTCGTTCACACCTAGGCGTATTGCATATGCGCGTCTGTCGCGCGTTTTTTTTACCGCGATTCGCGGTAAAAAAGTTGCGCGACCGTCGCACGTTTCCGAAGGCTACTTGGCTGTATCCCAAAGGAAGCGCGCAACAAAACGCGCGTTAGGGATGGGCGGAAATACGCCAAGGTGGGAACGAGACCATTGAATACAATGGGATTTATATTTTTGAGCGTTTTGTAGAGCGTAGAACGCGCTACAAAACGTTCAGGTGTGAACGAGGGCTTAAAGGGCATGTTTAGCCTACAAATTTTTTTTAGTTTTGGATAGAGTGTGGAAGTGTTAGAACTCCTTTTTTTTTTTCAGGGGCTCTGTTAAATAGGAATGTTACCCTTATCTTTAAAATAAAAACAAAACACACCTTTAGAAATGTTTAGTAATAACCATCTACAAACACATACCGGCTTTGTATTCATTGCATACCTTATTTTTCCTTTCGTTCACAGTCATCTCACAGTGGTCATGTTAACCAAGGGCAGATTAATATCTCCCTTTACTTCCTGGAACTCTGTCACATGTGACCATGCACATCATCTCAGGGGAGGAAAATGTCTTCCCCTGAGATCTGGTGATGTAATGTTCCCAGGATTGGAACATTACATCATTTGTGCCAGAAGTGGATGAACTCTAGTTGTAAGAAAAATAAGTTTAATTAATTAATGTAATTTGATTTTAAATCAGCATGCAGAGCTGAATGCTGATGCAATTTTTAGTTAAGGGTGGTAAAGGTCCGCTTTAAGGGCAGGGTCACACCATTTTCCAGACCAGATCTGGAACGCAGTCCATTGCCTTTTAGCGCATTTGGGAGGGCTTTTAAAAAAAAAGATTAAAATGGTCTTACAGGTGCATTCCAGTGCGTTTGTATGTGTTTTTGATGCATTTCAGACCAGACAAAATAAGACAAGCAGTATTTTTCTGGTCTGGACCAAGAAGCATGAAGCCGGCTTCCCGGCTAATCAGAAAGCCAGGCGCCACGTTAATACATGGAGCCCGGCTTCTTGACTGGCCAGCTTCTCGACTAATCAGGAAACTGGGCAGCGAGTCATTACACGCTGCCCGGCTTCCTGATTGGCCAGGAAGCTGGCTCCATGCTCTCTCATCACAAGTGACGGGAAAGCATAGAGCCGGCTTCCCGGCCAATTAGGAAGCCGGGCAGCGTGTAATGACTCACTGCCTGGCTTCCTGATACAGGAAGTATCGGGCTAGGCATCAGACCATATAGGCCCAAATAATCAGCATTGGCACCGATACTAGTATCGGTACATCACTACTTTGAGGTATGCAGAACTGACAAACGCATAACAGAAGTTATGCAGTGCAGGGGGAGCCCCAGAACCAGAGTAAACTTTTCTTTTACATGGAGTTCAGCTTTAATACTAGAAAATCTATTCAAGGAACCCACCTCCGGGAGCATTGGTGAAAGGAGAACAGCACTGGAGCCTGCTGGGAGATGGTTAAAGCAGAACTCCAGGCACAATTATTCTTAACCCTTGTAGTGCAAGGGTTAAGTGCTCATTGTTATCTAGGGACTAAAAAACAGTTCAAAGCACCTGAACCTCAGAGGCGGCTGGCTGTTTGACCAATCCTTTCAGCCTTGCTCCCCCCTCCGCTCCAGTGATCTAAATTCCTCTCACATTCAATATAGCGTACTGAACATGAGGACATTCCTTTGCTGGAGCGGAGGAGGAGACTGGGTCTAGGGACTGGCATAGCAGCTACAGCTCAGTTGAGTATATTTTTCTTATTTGCAACCACAGAGAAGAACAAACAGTTAACCCTTGCAGTGCCAGGGTAGCCCCATTACAAGGGTTAAGAACAATTTAGCCTGGAGTTCTTCTATAAGGTAAGCAAAAAAAAAAAAAGTATCTCTAGGCAAAAATCAACCTTATTTTTTGTTTGGGACAGAGCACAGAAGAGTTACACGTTCTGTGAATTCTTTATTGCGGTCTGTGTTCCCACTGGAGAGAGTCTCCCCTCTACTGGTACTGGTGACCACTGTCACTGAGAAAGAAAATAAGATATCCAACACATTAACACTGTCCTCAGAACAAGAGGTGAGGGGAAATATTCTAATGGGGCACCTGTACCAGTGACAGCTGTCTCATGAGAATTGACCTCACTTCGAGAGATTTCCTCTCACTTCCTGTGGTGTCACCTCGGATAGAAAAGGAAGGGAAAATCCACCTGGATACACAGGCATATAAATTGGCAGGGGTTTTAACTAGGGATGCCCTGAGTATTTGGGCAAGTATTCAGCCAGGCGGTGGGTTATTATTATTATACAGGATTTATATAGCGCCAACAGTTTGTGCAGCGCTTTACAATATAAGAAAGACATTACAATTCAAGACAAGATGGTAAGGAGGGCCCTGCCCCTGTGGGCTTACAATCTAACAGGGAGGGGGAAGTGATACATGAGGAGGGAGCTGCGTGGGGATGAATTGTTTGAGAACGTGATGGTTGAGGTGGTATAGGCTTCCCTGAAGAGATGAGTCTTTAGGGATCGCCTCCCTTATGGTTGTGACTAGGGATGCACCGATATATCGGCCGCCGAAACATATCGGTTGAAAATCCACTTTCCTGCCGATACGTCGGCACATCCCTGATCTCTTCCCTCCCCGCGGGGCGCTGCTCTATGTCGCAGCCGGGAGGAGAGAAACTGTGATAGCCGGCCCGAGCGCTGCGAGAGGAGAGCGCTGTGAGCGGCTGGCGTCTCCTCCCACACTGCTCAGCCACCCATCAGAGCAGTGTGGGGGCGGAGACAGCTCACGCTGTCACAGGAGCATTGGTCAGGAAGCCAGGCTGCCTAGGAACAAGTGAAGCCAGCTTCCTAGCCAAACAGAATGCTGAACGCACCTCATGACTCACCACCTGGCTTCCTGAATGGTACTCAAAAATAAAAAGGTACTTGAAAAAAACAGTATTGGTGCATCCCAAATTTTAACCCTTCCCTACTGCATCCAAAACGGAAAAACAGTTTAAGCCTTGCAAGGCAGGGGGCGTCTCACTGCAATGGTAACTTTTTACTTCACCCTGGCTTAAATACTAGAAAGTCTATATGGGAAACAAGTTGGCCTTTTCCAAGTTGCACCTTATAACCCCCACCCCCCAACCCTAGACTCCACTCTATAGAAAGAAAAAGCAGCAAAAAACGGTAACACAGATTGCGCTGCCTATGAATACATTGTTCTACTTTTGCAAAACTAATAAAAACACATCACAGCGGAAATATTGCACTGATTTGTTACAGCTGCAGGAGGGGCAGCAATGTATGCTGGGACTTGTAGCCCCACTGCACCTCAGCCTGTCCTATCATTGTCAGTGAGCGGTGAAGGTCAGACCCAGGCCGGACTAGTCTCCCAACACACACCCCGCTCTCCTCTCACCTGTGGGCTGTAAGCCTCCACCGGCGCCGCCCCGACCAGCTTCTGAGTGAAGCCGCTGAACTTATAATACATGATATCAAGCTCAGGCAATGTCAGGACGCCGGGCTGCTCCAACAGGAAGGAACTCAGGACCCGTTGCGTCGCCGTTTGATGACGCCGAGGCTGCCTTCACTCTGCCTGCAGGCAATGCGGCGGAATATTTCCCTTTTTCTTTAAATTTACCGCACGGAATAAATCTCAGAAATCATAGATATGTTCTGAAAAATTTAACGACCCTGCTGGGTTGTGGCGTTTGCGGAGGTGGTGTAAAATGATTTTCAGGCAGTAGAGACAGACCGGCTGCTTCCCCATGTGTCATCAAACTCAGACAGGCGCTGGGTCACCCTCAGAGACAGAGCATGTCATGTGACTGCAGAGCTGACAGCTCCTAGGACAGCAACAACAATAATAATCAATTATCATTATACATAGTTCATATTAAATGGGCTGTAGAGGAAGTGCTGAAGGGGAAATTTATCAAAACTGGACCAGTTTTCCATAGTAACCAGTCAGCTTCTGTCTCCTGTTTGTTCAGTTAGGCTGGGTTCACACCTGGGCAGTCGTAATATGCGCGTTTGACATGCGTTTCGGGCCGCACGTTTTTACAGCGATTTGCAGTCCACGAAACACGCGTAAAACGCACGCTTGCGAAATCTATCAGGTTGTATCCTAATAGACACGCGCTGAAATCTGCCCCAAAGAAGCTCCTGTACTATTTCGGGCGTAGGTCGTTTTTCAGTGCGAAAATACGCCCTGGTGGGAACCATGCCCATAGGAGTTAATAGAATTTCACTGCTTGAGCGTTTTTCAGCGCTGAAAAACGCTCAGGTGTGAACCCAGCCTAAAGCGTTGAAAATGAAAGAGAAGCTGATTTGTTGCCATGAGCAACTTTTGCAGATTTTGTTTGCACCAGTTTTGATCAATTCCCCTCAGACCGTGTTGAAATAGTACAGTGGTAAATTGGCACCTGATTGAATTATTCTTTTACTGCGTTAGACATTGATTAACCACTTGAAGATCGGCGTGTTAAACTCTCTTCCTGTCCCGACCATTTTCAGTATTCAGCACTGAGTGACATTAATTGAGTCATGCAACGTTGTACCGAAAATCATTTTATATCATTGTTTGGGACACACGGGGGAATTTATCAAAACTGGAGCATACAGACTCTGGCGACTCTTCTCTTTTCAGTTTGTTCAGTTAAGATTTGGAAATGAAAGCTAGAAGCTGATTGGTTGCCATGGGCAACTGCTCCAGATTCTTTTGCCTGAGGAAGGGAATCCTGCGTGACCCCGAAACGTTTGTTGCATCTTGTGTGATATGTTATTACGTCATTAAATAGACGTTATTTTGCATCGCTATTGGAGTGCCGTTATCCCTGATTTTCTACATGTTCGTCACGGCTGCCACCCATTGATTACCACAGCACCCAGATTTTTTCATTGGAGTGAACGGTCAGGAGTGCGATGGGCTCATGAACTTTCGGGTAAACAGACACCAAACATGTCATAAATTGCATGCGCCCATGAAATCGCAAAACACTTCCATACACCAAATTGCCGGTAGGCAATGGTTTAAAAGGTTTTACCGCTCATCAGTTTGGTGTTAACAGTGACTGATGGCTCTAGAATTATTGGTCTCACAACGGCATTCACGCTGATATGTAACATGTGCGGCACAATCGTCATTTTCGCACATAGGTGCACCCGACCTGTGTTTGCCTTTGTATGTCCCTCTGATCAAAGTACACAAACCGACTACCCCCAACACTGCAAGGGTTAACCAGTTGACATCCGCGGTGTTAAACCCCCTTCCCATCCAGGCCATTTTTCAGTATTCAGCGCTGCGGTACTTTAATTGTTTTTGTCTAGGTGTTTTAAAAAAAAAAAGTTAGACACATCCCATCCTCGGAGCCGGCTGGCTCTTAGACCATAGATACTTTTCTTTGTCTTGCTGCACTTCTACCAAAAGTCCCTTGTAGTGTGTGTTCGGTGCTCGGAGTGACTGCGGATGGCGGCGCAAATATCAGCGCTTGTTATATAAAAAAAGTGCTTTCCGCAGCCTGGAGACGGGCTTTAAAGCAGAATGTGCCTGATAATGGAAGGTCTGCTTATATAGCAGCACCTATCACAAATAAAAAAGGAAAGTGGAAAATGTACCCACCATAGACCACACCATGTGTTCCTTTCACCCTAGGGGTACCGGGAAAGCTGAGGATCCAAAATCTTGCTTCTGCACTGTGCTGGACTTCCCAGGATTTCACAGTGAAGTTAAATTTTTAATGAAAGAAGCAGCAGTGCCATCAGGGCACGCATCATTACAGGTGAGGTACTGGTACCTATGTAAGACCCCAATAAAGTTTTTGCCCACACATCAGCTTTAATCATGCCCATTAAGCCATACCCACTATGGATGTTCAGATACCAGGTACCGTACTCGGTGCAAGTACATGTACAGATACTTTTCCAGCTCCAAGACTAGACTAGAGAAAAATTCTAAAGTTATGATACCGGAACTTCTGGTCTTCTTGTAATGACTTACCACCCAGCTTCCTGATTGAGCGGGAAGCCGGCTCCATGCTTTTTGGCCGGCTCCATGCTGTTTGGCCAGAAAGCCGGCTCCATGCTGTTTGGCTGGCTCCATGCTGATTTTCTCCATGCTGATTACCCTTGAAGCCCCACTTCAAGGGTAGATTTTTGGTTTGCCTGAAGATGGGCTTTAAACATTTTTTTTTTTAAATCAAAGTTTGCTGCTTGTGGAGTCCAACAGGGCTTGTCACTTAACAGAAGGTTATAATGGGAGATAATATGTTCATGCGTTAATAGAAATGTAAGTCCAGGTTTCCTTCCCTTCCTTTCCTGTTCTCTGCCACCTCCTCCTGCCTTTTTTTTTGCATACATACCTTTCTCTCTACGGATCTTTGGTCTGGTAATGTGACCTGCGGAGTCTTCTTTCTCCTTTTGTGATGTGCTGGTGCTGAATACTGTACACAAATGTGCCATGTATTGATGTGGTACCATTCTCTCAAGCATCCTCCTGTGAGTCCAGGGTGGCTGGATGATGTACCCCCAGGTTATGGATCCTTGATGCCTTGGCCTCACAGGAAATGGGTTAATAGGCTCTGGACATATACTGTACATAACAGGCACAAAACACAAGTATACTGTAGGTGGAAAGATGTGTCACAATAAACTAAGAAAAATAAAGACAAAATAAGCAGAATTCTCTCAGAAGTCAGGTAAAGCAAAGCTGGGAATGTAGAATTACAGCAGAAGCCTGGCATTAATAGACAAGTCTAGACTCTAGTATGGGAAACCAGGCTCTTTGAAGAAGATCCAGCCAATGCGAAAATGTGCTGACTCTTGAAGGGCACGCACATGCTCATAGACCTATGAATACCTGTGTCCATGTGCCAACACTGGAGGATTCATCTGCCACGTGACATCACACTCTGGTTCCTTTAAATGTTCATTTAATGAGCAAAACATAGATCTGAATGATCAGCGCTGACCAGTTACTCATAGTCTCAATGTCAGCTAAGAAGTGTGAGTGAATTGAACAACCAATGCCTTTTAAAGGAGAACTATGAGGTGAGTGATTTCCACTCATCCTCATAGTTAGAGCCGACCTGTGACAATGAGACTGTCACAGGTTGGTCTCTATCGATCAGGAAGTGAACAGAAACATGACTTCTCACTTCCCGATCGTCTCCCTGCAGTAAGCGATGACTGTCGGTCACTGCTCCCCGCAGGGTTTCCTCCCCTCTCCTCTCCAGCGCTGAGTGGAGGAACGGACGGGGGAGGGGGCGGGCACAGCTGGCTCTGCCTCTAGATAGGCAGAGCCCGCTGCCACTCACGCAGCTGGGTGGATCTTGACATTATTGCAATAGCCCCCAATATACTGAGCTTTGGGTCACCGGAGGACGCTAGTTTATGTCCTCCCGTGAACCTAAAGAGAACTATGGGGAAAACACTTACCCCATAGTTCTCTTTTAACTACTGAACTATGGTTGAAGGATTACCCTACATGAGTGATGAGTGTCTCTATATATGTACAGTATGGTTATTTTTGTCAATGAGAACCCAGGCATTTGCTTTGCAAATATAGTATGGTGGCTAACCCTGGAACTAGATAGATAGATAGATAGATAGATAGATAGATAGATAGATAGATAGATAGATAGATAGATAGATAGATAGATAGATATGTAAAAAGCACATTGTTTCCCCTTAAGACTATTTACTGGAAGAGAGGATAACACTGACAAACAGTTGATTAAGGCAAATGAGAAAATGTGAGAATAAGTTTCATTTTGTGTTCATCACTGTAATCAATGTGCAAATGAAAACCTTTGAATACCAGAAAGGTATCTGCAAACAAAACAGTTTATATAAATCACCATTATTATGTTTTGTCAGGTTACAGAATCTGTAATTATCTTTTTCAGCCAAAGAACAATAAAATAGAAATAAAGACACCTGTAACCAGGTGTGTAAATTGACTACCCAAATGACTAATTCTGAGTCTAACAATCTCTTACAAAAGGAATAAACTGCTTTCCCTCATACAGTACTGAGTCACTGAAAGATACACTCCAGGAAAAAATAATCATTTACACCTTTTAATGGGAGCGTAAATTATCATTTAAAAGCTGGGTGTTATATGTGGAGCATTAAGATCTTACCTTGCAGCATGTCATCTCCTGCACATAACACTGAGCTTCCAGGCACTGAGCGGAGGAAGAGATGCGACTCGAGCAGTGAAGTGCTCCGGTCATATCACCCGTCCGTTCTCACTACTCGCCCATTCACAAAATGCCTTGCAATTTTTCAAGGTATACAAGGCATTCTGTGATTGGAGGAGGAGGGAGCAGGGATGTGACACCATCTCTCCTATTCCTGACATGTCATAACATACAGCAACAGTATTATTTTTTTTAAAGTTCCGCCTTTTCTCATTACAAAGCCGTCCTTGAGCTCCAAGTAAGTGACTTTGCCTAGGCTGAGATGATGTCAGGCAGGAGGAAGCATTTCCTTAGTCTCTCCTCCCCCAGTTGTCAGACTGCAACAATGTAACCCTGTAGAAAGTCACAAGGTGAGAGCATGCTTCACAGGCTGATCTG